ATTGGTACCAATGCCCTAATGGGCATCCTTATACAATAGGAGATTGTGGTGGAGCAGACCAAGTAAGCATGTAAGTTGATTTCTTTTTATTATTTTCAATTTTAGGACTTTTCGGGACTTGTTAAATGAGTTTAATTTATAGATGTCCCGAATGTGGAGTTCTTATAGGTGGCAGTAATCACCAGACTCTTGCTGTAAATGAACGTAACATGGAATATGAGAGCATGGAATAAACTTAAATAGGAAATATTATCTATTTTTTATTTTATTTAATATTTGAAAAATTATTATAAATAGCATTCATTCATACATTTCAACTACATTAATTTCAAAAAATGTATTGTTATGTATATAGAAATGATAAAATCATGTGTCATCAATTCTATTGAATTTATACTCAATAACATTGTAGATGATAAAAAGTAAATTTATTTTGGTGGCAGGTCACGGGTTGTCCCTTTGGTTTTAAGTAAACACACTCATTAATTGTAATATATAAAAAAAATCGTGATATTTTATTTAACAAAAAAATCTTGATTACAAACTAAGTTATTTGAATTCATATAATAATTTCATACTCTATTCTTAGTGTTAAGATATATAAAATTTATAAATTAGATGTACCCAAATCATCACCTAATTAATTAAATATAATATAAATAATTAATTATGAAATGAATAATATAAAATAGAAGATACTTACTAGAATTTATTATTTATTTGATAAAAAGATTTTGTTAATTCTTCATCATTTTTAGGTTTTGGAAGATTTAAATTGAGAAGTTTACTGGTATAAATTGCTTGTAGATGTGTTTTATAATTCATCGGAATTATAGTTGTTTGATTTTTGGAAAATTCTTCAGCTTCTTTAATTTGAATTGTAAATTCATCGTCATCATTATTATTTTTACTATTTTCCCAATAATCAACAAAGTATTTATTTAACTCATTATATAATTCTGCATAATTATTTGTGTAATTAACTTAGGTGCGTGAAATGGAATTTTATTACATATTTTAAAAGCGACAAATGCAAATGGACAAACATCAGTAGCCTTTGTATATTCTCCCTCACTTAATACTTCAGGAGCTATATAGGATAATACTCCAGAAATGGTATTCTTTTGGGAACTTTTTGTTTTCTTTAATTAACTTACTCAATCCAAAATCTGATATATGTATATTAGAATAGTCATTTACATATTTTAAAATATTTCCGGGATGAAAATCACGATGAACAATATCTAATTTATCAGAAGTTAACTCTCTTAAACAGTATAATTTAACAATCAATCGATATTAATAAAATTATTTAAATAAGTTCTAAAACTTCCACCTTCACTATATCGTAAAACCATCATATGTTTGTGAGTTTCTGGATCTTTGTAATTCCGCAAAAAAAAAAATGAAGAAATTCCAGTACCATTTATTCTCAAATGAATTGCCACCTAAATAACATATTTTTTAAATCAAAGTATATTTTCAAATAAACTTCCATCTTAATTATTAATTTTTATATTTACAATACAATCCAACTTTTTTAATACTACTTCAAGTTCTCTGAATTTTTCCATTGTTGATTTAATAAATAGTATCATTACCTTTTGCTATTTGGTTTATATCTTGAAATCTTTCAATAAAGTATCCATTCTATTACTATAAAAAATCATCAGCATTTAGTTGAATAAATTTATCTATCATGGCATTTCCACTTGTCCATTTATCAAAATTATTTTTAAATTGCACGATGTGCACCACCTGTACCGCATATTCTTGATTGCATTGGCATACTCTACGCATTTTCTGTATGTAAGGTGTAGAAGTTTTCTTTTTTTTTAAAAAAAAAAACAAAAAATCAATATGAAAAATTGTATTGATGTAAATTGCTTAGATATGAGCGCAAAATATCAATGAACTACACGCAGAATAAGATTTTACAAAAAGGAACAAATATTTATATTTAACAATCGGAGTTTGTTATTCTTGTATATGACCGAAATTTAGGAACTTCAGGAATTTTCTAGTTAAACAGATGATTAATTCTACATCATTGAATTTTTAGTTTATTTCATTTACAATTTTTTTTTGTCAAATAAGGAGCAAGGTTTATTATATTATAACTCATGTCATGCTAACTACTATTGTTTTCTCCTTATAATCCAGCTTTGTTTTTATTCATTTTCTAGCTTCAAGAATGGTATTTGTGTAATGTGGTTAAGTATTTTTTTTTATTATTTTATTTTATTTTTATTTTTATTTGATATTACTTTTAGTTTATCCATCAAAGTATTATAGGAAAAGTTTTCTGCAATAATAGAAAGAATTCTTATTTTTCCATTGTATCCTTTTTTATTAACTTTTAATGCTTGATAAAATGAATCCCAAAAAATATTGCTCTCATTATTAAGAAGGAATCCTAATTCATATAAAAAAAAACCTGATATTCTTTCTTTCTACTCATTATTCAATATATAATTGAAGGTGTATTAATAATTGGGCATAGGTTATCTAGGAAGTACGAGATTCTCGAGTGGAATAAAAAATATAGTAATTATTATCTTTTGAGATTTTTGCTTTTTTTTTGTTTTTTTTCGACTTTGCTCGTGATTTGCGAAGCATAGAGCGATTTTCTACTCAGATATTTCTAATATATAAATAAAGGCCTTGTTCTTGGCTACAAAATAATATGTATTTCATCCAGGTATCATCGATATTCGCAGAGTTATTTGCGTTTAAATTCGAACGTCTAATGAAAATTTCTGCCATAAATTTTCTGTAATTCTGGCCAGAATTATGAAAACTTCCTAATACTGCTAATCTGCATTTGAGTCACGGATCACGAATTAAAAATAATCCCGATTTTTGTTTTTGCAAAATGCTAAGTTAGAAGTGTAATGTCAAATCTTAACAATGACAAAATTGCATTTATATCTCAAGAATTTAATTGGAATAAAGCCAGGAAACTAATAAAATTCACCAAAAGAATAATATTTATATTTATTAATATATTTAACATTAAAACAAACCGCCAAAGTCGCTATCGTTTGTATAACCACGATTTTTTCGTAACCGTACTCCCCATTATATTCTATGAAGTTAAAATTTTAATAAAAGAGTTAAGAAATGTTTAAAGCATCAGAAATTCAATTAATTTTTATAAAATTAATGGCAAAATTAGTTCACAAAAAATTAATTTTATAAGTTTTTGATAGAACTTTATGAGTGCTGCATTTGTGAAAAATTTGAACTATGTAAGTTTGAAGACATGCGGCTGGTTACCCAAAAATTTTTAATACATATCCGCTTTCTTGCAAAAAATATTCGGGTCAAAGGTTTAAGTCTGAAATATGATATAAATATTAAAAGCAACAACAGAAAAGTGAGAAATAACAAGTTATAAAATCTTTTACAAAGAACAAGATGAAAGAAACCAAGTGAGAAAAGATGTAAAAAATAAAAAAAAAAATGCAAGTTAAAAAAAAATGTAAAATCGAAATATCTTGGTTTAATATTGATCCAATTGTTTCGAAACTACCATTTGATTCCTCTCAATGAAGTCAATCTAAGAATCCATAAATCACTAAAACATAATATGTAGTTACTGGGCTATCTTGATTTTATTAAATTTTATTATATCATGCAATGTTTAGAAGTGTAATAAAAATATGAAGCTATTTACTAGTACAGTCGAACTCTCCATATGTTTCACTTCGATTATATCAATAAAATTATAATCATTGAATTATCGATTATAAATACGTAACGTTTTATTATTATTTTCAATGACTACGACATGTACTTTTCCTTGACTACTTTTAAAATTTACGATACAAAGAAAAAATTCAGAGCCATGAATGGAAAATCACAAAAACAATAAATTTGTTCCACACCATCATATACTTGTAAACCTTCAGAAGAAACCTTATCCTTTTATAGAGATGCGATGATAATTCATTTAAAAAATAGTCTAGGGTTTAATAGACACTCAATTGGAAAAAACATATATGTAGTAATTGATGCATTTCCAAAGAGCGTATTTTTATCTTTGTTTGAAAATGAGGATAGCTTCAAATACATACCAAGCCTACAAAAATATCAATGCACTTTGGAAGGTGCAGTAAGTGGAAAAATATTAAAAAGCATATTAAAATATGATCAAATTATATTTTGCGAAAATAAGGATACTTCAACAAAAGGTTACATTTTACTTGAAGACAATGATGGACAATATAAATTAACTTTTATTTGGAAACAAAAGGAATGGAAAGAGAATAATAGACTTTTTTTAACTGGAATTTTATCAATTAATTTTATTACTAATTCTAGCAGATTTGTAAATGAGTAAGTATGATTATATTGATTTTATATAGTGTATTTAAATATTTTGAATTGTTGACTAATTAATTTAATTATTAATAGTGAAGAAAATCAAATATCATTGTCTGTTCAAGAATCATCATCAAATGGTAATCATGCTTTACATGCAATTAATAAATATAATTTTTATAATGTATTATATATTCTTTCTCAATCAAATAGAAATAATGATAATCTTTTACTAAACCACATTATAGATATATTTTGCCCCATCCCCAACTTAAAAATATTTCTTCAGACAATAAATAATTTAAAAAAATATTATATAAACAATAGATATATTTAATAAAATACAATTATATATCATATTTAAAAAAAAAGTAAATGAATTTTCTTAATTATTATTATTATTTTATATTATTTATTAAAGTGTATTAATATTATTAATATTATATTATTCACATATATTAATTATTTTTGCATTTGGAATATTATTAATTAAGTAAAATATTTGTCAATTTTTATAAACTAATATATCATAAATAACTAGTGTGGATTATAACCATCCTGAGAATGACAAGTGATTTGCATTTGTCTCGTCATTTGAGTGACGAGCGTTTTGCATTTGCCTCGTCAAAGATGAGATGTTTATAGTCTGCTCATCAGGTGATATGAAATTTTCATTTGCCTCGTCATCCGAGAGTCATCGGAATATACAGGTGTCTTGATATACAAAACTATATCTATTTATTAATATATAACATATTCGTATATAATTTATCTAGATTTTTATTTATTGCTCTTATATTTTTTTATCAATATTATAAAATTCAATAAAGTATATTTAGATTTCGATTGGTAAAAAATCTTTTATGTACATATTCCTATGTCATATTATAATCTATATGTAATGATAAATAAGCATTTAAAATTTTAATTCTATTCAATAAACTCTGACAGCAATTATAATTTTCTTTTGATCGGTACAAAAAGGACAGTTAAGAAAATAGTGATCATTTTTTTCTAAACAGCTCCAGTCACCCCCACATACCTAAAAATATATGTACTTTATTGTATATTGGATATTTAGCTTCTAAATTTGTATATTTAAAAACATCTCGATGACATGCATTCAATTTATTATACATCAAGAAAGGGAATCATTTCTGTACTACTTCAAGAATTGCATTTTTATCTTCTGGAGACTTAGAAATCTTGATGATGCAATCTCGTGAAAGATAATTATCAGCATTATCGATTTGCAGAGATTCAGAAACTTCAAACTTTATCTAGAGATTGAGTCCAGTCTCTTCTGTATATGTTCTATATAACATCAGGAAATTTAATTAGGCGTAGATTTACGGAAATATCACATGACCTCCGGAAATTTACGCCTGAAAAATTCGATTTTTTAAATTCAGCCGAGATTTAGGTGACAGGGAGCGATTTTCTACTAAGATATTTCTAAGATAGATCGAAAGCCCTGTTTTTTGGCTACAAGATGATATGTGTTT